GTGTCTCTAGACGTCATGGTAGCATTTCAGTATTCTCTTGGTTGCTGGATGGAGCTTCTGGTGTAAAAATTCTGCAATTCAAGGACTAGCTGTACATTATATTTTTAGTTTTTATAGATTGAGAGTTTAAATGGTATTTGGTTTTTTGGTTTTGTTTTGGTTTTTTGAGACAGGGTTTCTCTGTAGCTCTAGCTGTCCTGTAACTCATTCTGTAGACCAGGCTAGCCTCGAACCCCAAGAGCCTTCTGCCACACATCAGTTTTGATTGAGGTGTCATACACAGCAGAATTCATGTGTCATAACTGAATTTCCCCAGACAACACCTAAATAAATAGCAGTAGGAGGGGACACCACAGCGTCCCTGATCCCACCCTGTGGCCGGCCTCTCCTGAAGCATCTTCCTGATTGGGGCTAACAGTCTCTGAAAGGGGAGAGGGGAACCCTTCACTGGAACTGGCTCTTCTTCCTTTTAAAGCCTCATCTCTTGATCAGTGGGCTTCCGAGGAACCAAAGTGCTGTTCGTGTGGAGGGTGTGGGCTGTGTAGCTACCGAGTCACAACTCAAAGCAGTGCGGAAAGGCCAGAGAGAAATGCAGCTGTGGGTGCTGGCTGCAGAGATTTCTTGGAGTAGGCAAAGTGGAGCTGACTATGGGTTGCTTAGGTGGCCTGTTGAGAGGAGGTGACAGATGAGCAATCTCTAAGTGCCTTCTTCAGGAAGGGGTGACAGAAACGGTTTCCAACAGCTTCCTCATTCTCAGGGCTCAGAACAAGCCCTGGACTTTATCTGTGAGGGGTATGAATGGGCAGCTAGAAACAGACTCTGGGGCACCTGTATGTCGAGTGCCTTGGGCAGCCGTCACTCCACTTTAAAATCATGTTCACTTTTGTAGCCTTTGCTAGTTTGTTTGTTCAAACTTTTAGATAAAAGTTACTTTGGGGTCAAGCAGTGGTGGTACATGCCTTTAATCCCTGCTCTCAGGAGGCAGAGGCATGAGGATCTCTGTGAGTTCGCGGCCAGCCTGGTCTACAAGAGCTAGTTCCAGAGCAGCCTCCAAAGCCACAGAGAAACCCTATCTCGAAAAAGAAAAAGCTAATTTGGAGCTCGGCATGGTGGCACATGCCTTTTTCATGGCCAGCCTAGTCTACGTGAGTTCCAAGCAACCAGGACTATGTAAGACCCTGTCTCGAAAAGCAAACCAAAGTTGATTTGGTAGGCTGGAGAGATGGCTCAGCTCCGAAGAGCATGGCTGTATTGCTCTTTCAGAGCATCTAAGTTTGGTTCCCAGCACCCACGTTGGGCAACTCACAACTGCCTGTGATTGCAGCTGCAGAGGGTCCAGTGCCTTCTGGCTGCTAATGCCACTACACTTAAGTGCGCATGCGTGTTTTCTTTTAAATGAGCGCTCTCGTGCTCCCTCCCTCCACTCCCCTCCCTCTCATGTTGAAGAGTGTTTTGCCTGCATGTATGTCTGTGCATGACATTTATACCTGGTGACAGCAGACTCTAGAAGAGGGCACTGAATCCCCTTGAACTGGAGTTACAGGTGGGTGTGGGTGCTGGGAATTGAACACAGGTCCTCTGGGAGAACAGCTAGTGCTCATAACCACTGAGTCATCTTTCCAGCCCAAAAAAGTTTAATTTATGTTACTGTGGTGTTGGGCTTCCCCGTGAAAACTGTTTTATTCACAGAGCAGGTAACCAGCCTGCTGTTACGTTCTAGAGTGCAGACACAGCAGCACCACGGCTGCCTGGCATTCCCAGATAACTGAAATTGTAGCCATTCATTGCCAGGCATCAAATTTTCCTGCCATCTGGGAGACAAAGGTGTAATAACACCAGGGGATGGTTTGGTGCCATAGAAAACCATGGCTGTAAATTGTCTCCACACATGGAGTTCCCATGTTGGCTCCTGCATTGACAGAGGGAGGGATATTCTTAGGGGGGTGGCCCCTGTCTTGGTAAAGATGGCAGTGAGAACTTGCAGCTTCCGGGACTCCTGGCATGTCACGATGTCTGTTTTCTACAAGGCCACTGGGTACAGTCAAACTGGCCCCTCTTTTCTGTTGCACAAATAGGTCACAGCCACTGCCTTGTCTGCCTGGCTCATCTGCTTTCCACGAACTCCGGAGGGGGTGGAGTGTGGGGAGTGCACCCCCAGCAGCTCTTGCCCAAGCCTGCTGACTGCTCTGTCATTACTCGAGGGTCGTCTTTCACAAGACACTTGGGAGGCCACATTTTTTTTTGAAGCCCTTATTTTTGGTTGATAACAGTACTGGCCTTAAGCAACTTAAAAAAAGAAAAGAAAGCAGGGCCTCCCCTAGTGGGCTCTTGAGAGCTCTGTGCTTCAAAGATGGGCACTGTGGATGAGGAGCCTCTTGTCCCAACCCCCTGTCCTCAGTGTGCCTGTGAGCAACAGAGTGCCTCTGTGGCCTCTGCACAGGTCAGTGTTTGCTAATGAAGGCTTTTAAATTATGTGTGTCCTACACAGTATACCATCACGATCTTTAATAAAGTGTGGATGATTTCCTAAAGACTATTTTGCGTTTGTGCCTGCGTGTATGTGGCCTCTCTTGGAAGCTAGAAGAGTGTGTCAGATCCCCCGGAACTGGAGTTACAGGCAGTATGTGAGCTGCCCTGCGTGGATGCTGGGAATCAAACCTGGGTCCTCTGCAAGAGAACCAGGTGCTCTGTGCCACCTGTCCAGTCCCTATTACTTTTTTGTTTTGTATTGTTTTTTGAGACAGGGTTTCTCTGCAAATCTGGCTGTCCTGGAACTGTAGACCAGGCTGGCCTTCAACTCATGGAGATCTACCCTCCTCTGTCTCCCAAGTGCTGGTGTTAAACATAGTCAGTTCTCTCTTTCTGCTTTGGGTTCTGGAGCTCCAACTCATCAGGCTTGCATGGCAATCACTCTCACCCACTGAGCCATCTTGCCAGCCCACAGATGTTTAAGGAGGAAAAAAATAAATAAAACCATTTTAAATTTGGTATGGGAGTTTATGCCTCTAATTCCAGTATACAGGAGGCTGACCCAAGGAGATTGCCCTTAGTCTTAGACCAGCCTGAGGTTCACAGTTCAAGGCTAGCCTAAGCTATAAACCCCCAGCTCATAAAAACAAAACAAATAGAAATCTGTCCTTCCTACTCTATGGGTATATGAGCCTCTTGAGAATTTGAGGCTGCTTCATTGAGTTGAGTGCTTACTGTTAATTTATTAGCTTTTGCAAAATTGGCCCCATTGGCTGTTTTTGTTTGTTTGTTTGTTTGTTTGTTTTGTTTTTTGTTTTTTGTTTTTTTGTTTTTGGTTGGGGGCGAGGACACAAGGTCTTATGTAGCCCTGACTTGCCTGGAACTCTATAAACCAGGCTGACCTCAAACTCAGAGATCCGGCCGCCTCTACCTCCTGAGTGCTAGATCAAAGGCGTGAGCCACCACACATGGCCCACATTGACACACACCTAAAGCCAGTGACTATGCCTGTGGCTAGGGGCTGGCCAGCAAGGCGGAGAGGCAGCAGCATGGTGGAGCTCTGGGCTTGGCGGCTTTGTTGAGATTTGCGTTGTCTCTGTTGCAGCTGAGAGATGGTTGCCCTGTTTGATGTTCTGTGTCACTTTCAAATGTCAACATGCAAGCATCAGCCATGTTAGAGCTTTCTGATTTCTAACTTGACTGCTGTTCAGCATCTCAATATCCCTTTGTAAAAACAATCTTACCAGCTTCCTTTCGGAACGTCACTGCACACTGTAGACTAACCACCGTTTTAGTCAGCATTTCCTTTGCTTCCCCCATTTTGGAATTGAGCTCACTTCTGTATTTTCTCTTCCTCTGTCCCTTTTGGAGACAAGGTCTCACTGTGTACCCATGTAGACCTCAAAACCTTGAGCAAATCTCCTGCTTCTGTTCTCATTGCTAGAATTAGAGGTAGAGGCCACTATACTTCTGTGTTTTCTTTCCTTAATTTCTTTCTTTCTTTTAGAGTTTTTTGAGGCAGGGTTTCTCTGTGTAGCTTTGGAGGTTGTCCTGGAACTCACTCTTGTAGACCAGGCTGGTCTCAAACTCACAGAGATCTGCCTGCCTCTGCCTCCTGAGTGCCGGGATTAAAGGTGGGCACCACCACCATCCGGCTGCATTTTCTTTGTTAATGCCAGCATGGTGGGGGACACACCTGTAAGCCTGCAACTCGGGAGGTAGAGGATTGAGAGTTCTGACCAATCTGCTCTGGTTACACAGTGAGTTCTAACCAGCTTGGTCTACAAAGTGAGACCCAATCTAAAAAGCCAATCAAAACAGCCCACACACATGCTTGTGATTATAGCACATGGGAGGTAGAGGCGGCAGGTTCAGAAATTCAGAGTCATCCCAGCCACCGAGTGACAGCCTAACCTAGGCTACAGGAGACTTTTCGTTATATATAAATATTTCACTAGCTTTATAACCTCTGCCTTTTGTTGAATTTGCTCTGAGTCTTGGGTCTGATTGTGTTGGTTGGTCTACTTCCAGGGTGCCCGACCTCAACACAGAGATGTAGGATTTGCCTGCCTGGTCATTAGAATAGTTTCCTATACACCGGCCCCTCGCTTGTCCCGATGAGCTGCTTGGTAGGGGAACCCAGCATTGGGAGTTTGGTGGTTGGCTTGCAGAGAACATTGCTTTTCTCTCCCAGACTGCAGCCTGCTGGGTCTCTGTGCTCTCCGCTGCCAGTGCCTCTGTCTCCTAGAGAATCTCCTTAAGAAAGTACTGGTTGGTTATGCCATCATTCCTTCTGCCTTCCCACTGAAGGGTTAATTCTAGGTGTTGAAAAAGAAGCCTGAACTTGCATTGCCCAGAGTTTTCTTTTTTCTGTAACTTTTATAGTTTAACGTACAATGCTGGCTGTTGAAGTTAAAAGAATTCTGATGCCTGAATAAGCTTTCCACAACCCTAGAAGACGTAACTGTCTATGGCTGCACTTACAACGGGGGAAAATTGATGATTTTTTCCCCCCTCTTGTCCTTTTCCAGGTTTTGAATGAAGAGTGTGATCAGAACTGGTATAAGGCAGAGCTCAATGGGAAGGATGGCTTCATTCCCAAGAACTACATAGAAATGAAACCACATCCGTAAGTTGGACTCCAAGTTCTCACCTGCTTGTCCTAAGAACTGGTTTCAAATTGGATTGTTGGGGCTGGAGCAGGGTCTCAGTGTAGCCTTGACTGCTCTGTAATGAGGCTGACCTCACAGAGACCTTTGTCCTTCTAGTTCTAAATTTAAAGGTGTGTACCATTGTGCCTAGGTTAATTTGGTTTGGTGAGATGGTCATATCATATGTACATCCTGCCTCAGCCTTCCAGAGTTCTGGGGTTACAGGCATGTACCACCATGCCAGGCTATCAAATACTGTTGTTAAATTCAAAATGGAGCCCACAGTAAGGTGTCATGGTGCATACCTGTGATCCCAGCACTTGGAAGGCAGGCAGGTGAGTCACAGCCAGTACACAGCCAACCAGAAATGCACACTGAGACATTATCTCAAAAACTAAAAGTACAAACAAAGTAAAAACCATTAGCCAGGCATGGCGGTGCATGTCTGTGACCCCAGGATTTGGAAGGCTGAAGCAAGAGACTTGTAAGCCCAAGGTCAGCCGGAGCTACTTAGAGATCTCAGAGCCAGCCTGTACACACCAAGACCCTATCTTAGACAACCAACTAGAAAGAAAAGATGGCCGAGCTCTGCAGGGGTGGCCTAAGGCAGTGCTTAGTGAGTTTTCTTATTAACCACCAGCGTGTAGTAACGGGGGTAAGGCTGCTTGCTGTCTGGAATCTCTGAGAGTCAAACTTTTTTTTTTTTCTTTTAAATACAAGTTCCTAATTTTCATTGAGACCTTTATGGCCCAATGCATCTCATGATTTCTTATGTTTTGAGTTTTACACAGAGTTCTTACCATATGGTTTCTTGCTGGTGCATTTGATGACCCATGGGATGGTATCCTCATTGTCCTAAACGTTTGCTTTTCCATGCAGAGTTCCCATTTCAGAAAGAAGGAGATAGTTCTCTTCCAGGCTGCAGGAGCATTGAGGGCTGACTTCCTCCATGCCGTCCATCCCCTGCAATGAGCATTCTTAGTTTTCTTCCAAACCCCTACCTACCAGTCTTTCTTACTGTTGTGTATCGTGGCAGAGTCCCGGGTCTGTTTATGATACACGCAAGAGCAGTCATTTGCATACCTCGTAAGTCAGAGGAGCCCAGGCTCTCAAAACTCAGACTACAGTGCTGCCGGGGGTTCTGTTGGCTTAATGCTAAGCGTGAGACTGCTGGGCGCCTGGCCCCACCTCGAACAGTCCAGTGGCCCCTCTTCCCGAGATCACCATTTTCTCCCCCCAGTACTACAGCAGACATCACATTGAATTGGAGACACCCTCTCACACACGTCATGGAGCCAGAAGGGTCATCTGACTGGTTCTTTTTCACTCTGTAAATTATGAAGGCCTCTGGTGTTTTTGCTCCAGTGCTGGTAACTTATGAATGTGGCGCTCACTGTAAAGGCTTCACAGTGGAAGGAAAGAAAGGGAAGGGAAACATAGAGCCATGAACCAGCTTGCTCCCATGCACGTGGTCCTTGCAAGTGACTGATAGTAACTGGGCCAAACACCACAAAGGACCAAATCCTGAGTCTCATCTCAAAAGTTGATTTTTTTTTTTTTTTCTTCTCCACAAAGCTGTCAGCTTAGCTCACGCCTTGGTCAGTGAGTTCTTATGGAGTGTTGTCATGTGCCCCCAACAAGATAATGGGATAATGAGAAGGTGTGATCTGCAGTTAACCTGCCCCTTGATGAAATAAATCCCCACACTGTCCTGGGAAGCTCTTAGAGATAATGTCCAGGCAGCCTTAACCTAGAGATGCAGAGTTTGATTGCTTGCGGGCGACCACAAGGAAGTTGATGCTACCAGGAAAGAAAAAGAGAGAAAGAAGCCCCAAGGAAACGTCTTTTACCTCAAGAACAGCCAAGCACCTCAGAATGTTTAGACATTCCATGGGGTGACTTACAAGATGAAGAAAGGTCTCATTTGTATAGTTTTCTTGCTTTTGTTTCTTGGGCAAGTATGTGAGTTTAGTTTCTACCCAAAAGATTTTAGGTCCCTTGGAGAATTAGACTAGGCTTCTGCTTTTATATTCCACTGTAACTTGTACCTTGTTTTTTGGTTTTTGGAGGTTTGGGCTTTTTTTGTTTGGTTGGTTGGTTTGGTTTGGTTTTTTGGAGACTGGGTTTCTCTGTGTAGTCCTGGCTGTCCTGGAACTCACTCTGTAGATCAGGCTGACCTCCATCTTACAGAGACCCTCCTGTCTCTGCACCCTGAATGCTGAGATGAAAGGTATGCTCCATCACTGTCCTGCCTACCTTGCTTTTTTGTACAGAGTGGTTCATTAAAATTTTTTTGCTGCTATTTAGGCTTAAAGCCTTAATGAAGAAATCTAAATGCTAAACCTTCAAATAAATGGCATATGCACATTAGATTCCTGGACCTCTGTCCGTGGCTGAGAATGCCTCTTGCCTGAGATCCTGTAACCTAAGATTGGGGCCCAGTGTGCAGTACAGCTGGCCCAGGTTACTGAAAGGCAGGCTTGAGTGGGGTAAACTGAAGTTCTGAAACTTCAACATGAACTTCTTACATCTGATTCCTGTGGTGTTAGTAAGCCTGCTTTGTAGACCCAGAGACTGGTATTAGGGTTCAAGCCTCAAGCTGAAGACTAGAGAAGCAAAGCAGCCAAGCCAGTAGATTTTACCTCTACCAAGCTGAAATGGCAATCCTGTCTCCATGAATCCTCAATCTGTAGCTAACCAGGGTGGCTGCTTTGGTATTTTGATCTCCAGTGGCTTTAATAAATCATAAACAATATATCACCACAGGGTTTCTCTGTGTAGCCCTGACTGCCCTGGAACTCTCTCTGTAGAGAGATCCTCTTGCCTTTGCCTCCCGAGAGTTTGTATTGAAGGAGTGTGGCCGGCCGTTGGTGGCGCCCCCGCCTTTAATCCCAGCACCTGGGAGGCAAGAGGCTGTCGGATCTCTGTGAGTTCGAGGCCAGCCTGGTCTACCAATCGAGTTCCAGGACAGGCTCCAAAACAGTACAGAGAACCCCTGTCTCAAAAAAAAAAAAAAAAAAAGTAAATTGTGTGTTTCTTTTATATGTCTGTGTTTGAGTGTATGTATGTGAGCCCACAGACATCAAAAAGAGGCATTGATCCTCTGGAACTGGGGTTATAGGTGGTTGTGAGCCACTAATGTGGGTGCTGGGAACTGAACCCAGGTCCTCTAAAAGAACATTAGATGTTCTTAAACAGTTAGCCACCTCTACACACACAACTCTTTTTTTTTTTTTCCTTCCCACCCTCCCCCTCTTTTCTTTTATCCTGGGAATTGAATAGTAGGCAAACATTCATCACTGGACAATGCCAAGCTCCCCTAAAGTTTGTGCTTTCGTGGCCCATTAAGGCCGGGCTCACTTTATATGCACAAGGCCCTGGAATCCACCCCTAGTGCCTTAAAAATATTAATTTTAAAAATAAAAACTGCAAAGGCACATGGTTTCATGGTAGAGCATTGCCTCAAACTCACGAGGTGTTGATTCCCAGCACTAGAGTAGAGAGGAGAAGGATGGGTGTGGTGGTGTGTACTTGTATTTCCCAACATTCCAGAGACTAAAGTAGGCAGATCACAAATGCAGGGCTGCCCAGGGGCTGACAAACCTGACAACAGCGCAAATTCAATCCCAGATCCCAGGGCAGAAGTGACTCTCAGAAGCTGCCCCCTGACCTCCACGGGTGCACCATGGGGTTATAGGTGGCGAGTACCCGAGCACTCACACTCACACACTAACTGAAATTAAAGAAAGGGAAGGCCAGCCTGGGCTTGCATAGCAAGATAGCCTGAGAGCTGTGGATTCCTGACAGCTGTGCTGGATCAGAACCAGCGCCTCCTGGGTGCAAATTGCCGTGGTCTGCGCCCTCCAGATGGTCTGGTAACACAGGCATTTTTCAATCAGGTTGTTAAAGATAGAGCCACCCTCCTGTGGAAGGAAAGTCTGTAGGTACTGCCACTGACAGGAGAGCCACTCTCATGAGAGTTTGCGTGGTGGTATGCCTGCTTACCATCTCTTGGGGTTGGGGGAAGAAGTGGAAGAAGGAAAGGGCCAGAGGCGCAACCCTTAACCTGCAGGGGGGGCCTGGGATCAAACCCTTGGTCCTTTAAATAACTTTAAATAACTTCCTACCCACCTACATCAGCATGGTCTGCTGGGCGCCTTGCACTGGCGGGAGGGAGGAAAGTCCCAGCCCCTCCCCCTCCGCCTGAGCTCTGCAGAAGGAACTAAACATTCAAAAGTCTCTCTCCAAGTCTCTGATAGTGCTGGGGGCTGCTGGTCCCCAGCGCCTGCCTCTGTGACTTACAGGCCGCCAAGTAGCCCAGTGTACCTGGTGCTTAGTGTGACACCACAGTGTGGTGTGCCAGAGGCCAGCCCTGCTCCCCTTTGTTTGTAGAGGTAGTACATACAATAGAGTGCCAGCCACCTGTGAAGGCCGACAGATCCACACACTCTTCATAGTAAGTACATGTGGGCGGAGCCTATGGCGTGCTATAAATAATACCCTGGAAAATACATCCCCCACCCCCCCTTGGCTTTCCTGCTTGCTATTTCTAGGGTAGTACAGACCAGTCTTTTTAAAGACTAGCAGAACGTTTGTCTGTAGGCATGCCGTTATACATAAATATCACCATTAAAAGGACCCGTCAGGCTCGGTCTAGCTCAGTGCTAGAGGGGACCAGCCCCGCACGCACAAGGCCCTGACTTCTGCCTCCAGCACTGCAAACAGGAATACTTTTAGAGAAGCTTATTGGGTTTATAAAAGCCTGTGAAAGTAGAGTCTCTGACTGAATGCTGAGTGCTGTTCCTCCTGCTGTATGGGGTCTCCCGACCCCGTGTGCTGGAACCAGGTGCAGATAGACAAGAAATTTTTGGTTCATAAAATGGTTCTCAAACTAATGTTTCCTTCTGTTTTAGTTTTTGAGACAGGTTTTTGGAATGAGACCCAGACCAGCCTTGAAGTTACACTATTCCTCCTTCCTCTTCCTCCCCATGGCTAGGATTACAGCTGTGCATCACACACTCAGCCTTTTTATTCTTGACACATCTATTTTGTAAAGTTCCAATTAGGAGACAGGCAGTAGCGGTGTGGCCACTTCTAATCCCAGCACTCGGATTAAAGGCCTGCACCACCGCTGCCCAGCTCTGTGTGTAGTAACTTCTGATGTTCCTGATCCTGTGGTTTGGTTTTTGTTTGTTTGGGCTTTTATGTGAGGCTGATACTCAATGCAAGTATCCTGTCACTGAGCAGTGTGTCCTCCACCCCCATGCTCTGTCTCCCTTCAGGGCTTTTCCCAGGGGCTGGGAAAGCTGCACCCTGAGCCTGTCCTGAGGCTGGAGAGGAGTGCTGGCACCCATACCCTGTCTACTTTCTCACCAACTAAGCCTCCCTTTGTGCTTCAGCAGAAGCAGCCCTGCCTCCAGCTTCTAGTCCTTCCAAGTCCCCTCCTGCACTCAGGCTTGACAAGACTCTGTGCGGTCCCGAGTCCAGTCCATCCTCCCCCCCACCCCACGTGGCAGGTGCGGCAGGGCTTTCCTGAGTGCCCTTCTGATGAATTTGGGGCAGGGTTGTCTTTGGCTTCAGAAACCTGACTTCAGGTGGCACATTGGGGATCGTCTCGTCTGAAGAGTGGCCTGCACCGGTGCCTTCCTTGAGTCTTGATCTAGAGAGTGGAGTGGGTGGAGCTGCTTCAAAGCTCAGCTCATCTCTCTGGAAGGCACTGAGCCAGAGCAGGCCTGGTGAGCCTTAGGCAGGAGACCAGCTTGTGAAGAGTAGCTTCCACCAGCAAAGAGATCTCGTATTTACGTGTGAGGCTGGACAGCCCAGTTTCTTTGTGGGGAAGCAGATGTTGACTGGATTGCCTTCCTTCCTTAGGTGGTTTTTTGGCAAAATCCCCAGAGCCAAGGCAGAAGAAATGCTTAGCAAACAGAGGCATGATGGGGCCTTCCTAATCCGAGAGAGCGAGAGTGCCCCTGGGGACTTCTCCCTGTCTGTCAAGTAAGTATTTCCTGCTGGAGTGTCCACAGAAACCTGCTGCCATTGACTGAAATGTAAGGCTGTGGGAAGATGTTAACAAATCTTTCCATGGAAATCCTAGTGTTTTTCATGAACCTTCAGGAACTGATGTCACTCATAGCCGGTTTCCTACTCCCTACCAGCCCTGGTCCCTGTCCCTGTCCCTGGTCCCTGGGTCCCTGGTCCTGCCTTCAGTATAGTTGCTGCCACTCAGGCAGAATAAATAACACATGTCATCTCAGCTCCTGTTGCTCACCTGGACCAGATGCTATCTGAGGCTTTTCATGTCTCTTGAAAATGTTTCTGTGAGTAGGTGGGATTCCCTGTCAAAAATCTAGATAGGACTTAGACATGCAAGGTGTCACGTGCCTTTATCTCACACTTGGGAGGCAAAGACAGGTAGATCTCGGTGGGTTCCAGGCCAGACTGAGTTATATAGTGAGATCCTGATTTTCCATGATGTCTGACTGGTCATCTTTTTTGGGGGGGGGGTCATCCTTTTCTAGCTAACATGTTACTGCAAAAGCCCCACCCCCAGAGTCTTTTCAGTCATTTCTTTCCAACACAGACTCTTACCTCAGGCTATCCTGGAAGTTGCTATATAGCAGAGGCTGTCCTCAAATTAATTGACGGTGCTCTGCCTGTCTCGGCTGAGCTCCTGAGTGCTGTGATGACAGGCGTGAGTAGGTACATCCCCTCATTCTTTATCCATAAAGGGCTGGGGGAACCTGGTGCCTCTAACCCCATCCCCGGGGACATGAGAGGACAGACTGCTGCCCTGAGGGATCTGAGGTTTAAACCCAAATTGTCAGGTTTGTGCACAAGCGCCTCTGCTCACTGGGCCACCCCACCAGTCCTGCCGTTGTCTTTTAAACGCACTGACCAAGGTCTTGCTCCATTGCCCACGCTGGGAACTGGGTGTAGCAGGTGTGGGTTTCAGGGTTCTGTTAACTAGCATCATGGCGAATGAATGAATGAATGAATGAATGAATGAATGAATGAATGAATTGCCTGACTGGCCTTGAACTTTCCATCTTCCTGCCTTCACTTTTGTGTAGTAGGAATATCAGGCCTCCAATCTAGGCACCAGAACAAAGTTATGCTTTTTGTCTAAATGGCCTCAAACTCAGGGATTCACCTGCCTCTGCCTCCCGAGTGCTGGAATTAAAGGCGTGGACTGCCACAGCTGGCTTGCAGTATTTTTTTTTTTTTTTTCAAACTCAGTGTAAGAATAGTTTCCTCTTGCAACCAGGACTTTTGAAGGTCTTTTTGTTTGTTTGGTTTGGTTTTTCCAGACAGGGTTTCTCTGTGTAACAGCCCTGGCTGTCCTGGAAGTCATGTGATCTGTGAGCCAGGCAGGCTGGCCTTGAACTCAAAGAGATCCACCCGCCTCTGCCTCCTGAGCGCTGGGACTGAAGGCGAGCGCCACCTGGCTTGAAGCTCCTGGCCAGACACATGTGCGGATGGCTCTGACAGCATGTGGAGCTGGGCTTGTAGAATTACCATTTTATGCTTCAGCAGCTTGTGTGTCATCTGCTTTTTTGGCCTCTGCTGCCCCTAGTAGCAGTAAAACAGCTTAGGAAGGAGAAAGAAGTAACCAACCAGTGGGTAGCAACAGACCCTGCTCTGTGCGTTTCCTGAAGATGCCCTTAAGGCCAAGCTGTTCCCTTCCATCAAAGGAAGTCTTGTAAGGGATGGAGACCTAGCCCAGTGTGTGTGAGGTCTACGAGAGCTAGTTCCAGGACAAGCCTCCAAAGCCACAAACTCTCCCCCCCCCCAATAAATAAATAAATAAATAAAACTTTAAAAATTAAACTTTAAAAAAAGTTAATGTGCTATCACTTTAGGAATAAAATAAGGGGGAGGATAGAGTACCTACCTCACAAACATGAGGGCCCGAGTTAGGACCCATCGTGTAAAAGCTGGGGTAAAAGAGAGACAGGTATCCCTGGAGCCAGGAGGCCAGCTAGCCTGGCCTAATCAGTGAGCTGCTGGTTCTGAGAGAATATGGCAGAGACTTCCATCATTGACTTCGGTTTCCACACACATGCTGGCACACGTGCACACGGAGAGGTGGGCAGAGAGAGAGAGTATGAAATACTGCCTTTAACACAGGCATCTTCACAGAACCAAGGGCTTCACACGGCCTCAATCTCGGAGATGGTGCACTGGTTTCGAGATGTCAGAGTCTGGTTAAAAGGCCGTGGTAGAAGTGACCCTGGCAGTCAGTGACCTGCACTCTCCGGAAGCCAGGTGCAAACCCAGAAGGGCCCTCGACAAGGCCTTCGGATGTGCAGTCCTCTGCTTTCGCCAGCGCATTGGCTTCCAAGTGAAAATGTGATAATGAAGTTGTCTGACTGCTTTGGTCTTGCTTTCCTCCATTTCAGTTACCAAGATCAAGTGGAAACTGCAGAAATAACTCCTGGATTTTAAATAACTTAAATGATTTCATATTGCTGCAATGTGTGTCCATAGGGGAAACAGTGTATCTGGTTTCAGATTTGCCCTGAGTGTTAGTTAGGAAGCGCTAGTGTCCTGCCCCCCCTAGCTTGAAGCTCGGTGCTGCCTCCTGCTGGATTGTCTTCAGAATGCCTTCACCTTTTTTAAGCCCTAAACTGGAGAGACTCCTGGAAAAGATTTGAAGGCTTGGCAGTGATCAGGAAGCAAGGTCCTGGCTGAGTGACTGTCATGCCCAGGTGTCACTAGGGCAGACCCTGTGATCCGGCCAGCATCAGTAATCACACTTGTTAGCCTTGTTGTCAACTGATAAGAGTGTTTGTTTCTTCATATTTGGTTCTCGTTACCCTGAAAAAGAAACAGTATGGCAGTAACTCAATGGAAAGCATGGCTTTGGTGGCACACATGTCATCCCAGCCCTGGGGAGGCTGAGTCAGGAGATCACCATGAGTTTTAGACCTGCTTAGCCAGTTAGTGAGCTCAAAGCCAACCTGAGCGAGGGTTTGGATGTCACATGGCTTTTTTACCTGTAAAGCAGATAAGCTTGGACCTTCATTACTGGGCTGTGTGAGTAGATCATCAGGTGTCTGCAGAGTGAGACTAGTGGGTGGACTGCCCTCGTGAAGACTGTTCCTGGGGCCAGCAGTCAGGAGAGGTCTAGGGGAGGCTCCCGGAACAGTCCCCACTCTGTCCAGCTGAAGACTCGGTTGCTGTGCAGCTATCATGTCCACAAGTTCTGCAAAGCCACCCCAGGGACCCTCAGGACAGCCCTGCAGCTGGCTGCTTCATGCCATTCTCCTCCCATCCTCAGGTTTGGAAATGATGTCCAGCACTTCAAGGTGCTCCGAGACGGGGCCGGGAAGTACTTCCTGTGGGTGGTGAAATTTAACTCTTTGAATGAACTGGTGGACTACCACAGATCCACGTCAGTGTCCAGGAACCAGCAGATATTCCTGCGGGACATAGAGCAGGTGCCACAGGTAAGCCAGGGCCTCCGCAGCACCACTCTGTGCACCAGGCTGCCTTCATCCACACTGAGGATCTGCAGTTGTCAGTCAGGTAGTTTTGCCACCAGGGAGAAGTGCTTCCAGACCCGGGTGGGCTGTCTGCTCGAACCCCTGTCCTTTGCTTAATTACAAGCAGGGGTTTCAGTCAGAACTGCCTTTTGACTTGTAGGACCTAAGTGACTGGAACACAGACATTTTTACACCTGTTAGCAGAGCTCTGGTGCGCACAGCCTATGTTGTTGCCGCCCCCACTAGTTTAATAGGCCCATTGGCCATCGTCAGTGACATAGGTGTTTGTACCCGAGTGGGTTTTGGATATCAGTAAAGGATTACTCTGAACCCAGCTAGGATTGAGGGATGGTGGGATGGAGGAAGTTAGAGGGAGGCTGCCTTGGGAGTGGGTGGACAGTGAGCAGTGGCTGACAAGGCAGCTGGCAGCATGAGGAATGAACGCCGTTCTCGTCCTCTGCTTGTCTTTTGCAGCAGCCAACGTATGTCCAGGCACTGTTTGACTTTGACCCCCAGGAAGACGGTGAGCTGGGCTTTCGCAGAGGAGACTTCATCCATGTCATGGATAACTCAGATCCCAACTGGTGGAAGGGGGCCTGCCATGGGCAGACCGGCATGTTTCCCCGCAATTACGTCACCCCAGTGAACCGGAACGTCTAAGAAGCAGAAGAGATTATTTAAAGAAAGTGAAAAGTTGAGACCATTCACAAGAATTGCACCCACATGCTGCCTGTCACAGCTTGTGAGGGAGTGCAGAACATCTGGCTGGGTCCTACTGGTGACCCTCTCACTTAGGTTGAAACTTTGGGGGGTGGGAAGGGGTGTTTGATTTCATAATGCCAAAACTTAACCTATTGAATTGAATTACAGTTTTTATTACAGAATCTCACTGCTGCTCCTGTTCCCCTCCTATCTCCTTTTCTCATCCTTTCTTTCCTGTCCTTCAGTGCATGACGTTTGAGGCCACGTATAGTCCCAGCTGATGCCAATACTAAAAGAAACCAAGTGGGCTGGTACTTTCTCTATGCAAAATGTCTGTGGAGATGAATGGACTAAAAGAGCTATATTCTTCACACACAAGGGGCGGCCAGGGCACCTGGGGCCCGTGAATGGGCTTCTGCCAGAGATGCCTGAGGGCATCTGCCTCCAGCCCAAGCCTGGAGCATCCCGTCAAGGTTGGACTTTGTAGGGGAAGGAGGCACGCCACCCACCTCTGGTCCCCGAGTCACTGCAGACCTGCGCCTCCTCCCACTGTCTCCCCGTCAGGTGTTGCTCAAATGTTGTTTTTCATAGTGCCTTTTTTCTTATTTCAAGGGTGTTTTATGAGTGGTGTTTTTACTTTTTTTTATATAAGTTAAAGACAGTCCAGAGCTTTTCCTATCCTGTATAATATTTTCCTCTCAGGGCAGGGGAAACAGGATAGAGAAAGGAAACAGGAGAAGCAGAGCGTGGTATTGCCTGTCTGGAGGGGCCAGAGGTCTTGGAAGACTCTGCTCCCTGGCTGTGGTCTGCCCTTTCCATGCCTGGAGCCAGTGAGTGTCAAACACAGAAGACAGGGGCAGGTGGCAGCCAAGCTGTCCTTCCTCCCCTGTCACAGGCCTGCACTCGGGTGGGAGCTGAGAGTATGGCTTTTCGTTGTCCTTGCTCTTAGAATTAGGTCCTTGCTCTCAATTGTGTATTTTCCAACCTGCCCAAGAGCGCAGATAGCAGGGTTGGGGCTTGGTGTGTTCACAGCTGTTCTGCTGCCGCATCCCATGAAGCTGTGTGAGGTGGGAAAGAGCACAACCCATGCAAAGAAAGCTCTTTGTCTGTCTCCTGTGAGCTTCCAGTCCTCTGTACACCAATCTCTGCACCTAGCCTCCTTCCCACAGCAAAACAAGGCTCCTCCTAGTCTCCCTTGGAGTTGGCAGTGTCCTTGGGCTGCTGGGCTCTTCGGGGTGGGGTCTCCCCTGGACTCTGTTGGGAGATGGACTCAGCCCTGCCCTGGGGGCGGCCTTCCAAATGGAGCTGTCCCTGCCCTCCTGGTTTTGCTTCCTCTTTCCCTGCTGATGATAAAATGAAATAATGAGTTACACCTGGGCCATTTGATTGTTTTATTTTGGAATTGGTGTATATCATGAAGCCTTGCTGAACTAAGTTTTGTGTGTATATATTTAAAGATCAGTGTTTAAATAAAAAGACCTATGTACTTACTCCCTTAACTTCTGCGAATAGCGATTTGGTAGGTAGTGATTAACTGTGAATAAACATACAATGAATTCTTCTCAGTGCATCTTCTTTTCTCCCTGATGACGTCTTTATATTCTAGACAGGGTCTCTCACTGTTGCCCTGCCTGACCTGGAATTCACAGTGTTCCACCTACCTCTGCCTCACGGATGCTGGGATTAAACACAGGCTGGTACATCTAGCCCCTGTGGCCCCAGAACAAGTGATTAGTTCATCATTTGGAAATTGGTTTAGATCAAGAGCTGGGCTTACAAGGCTCCTCCCGATCTCAGAGGAAGTAGCTGAGACCCCTTGACTATGACTGCTGCTTCTAGGGTGAGACAAGGCTCTTAAAGCAAGGGTTAATAGTTGAACAAAAGAGAAATGACTTTGAGCAAACAACCTCATTGTGGTATCACAGCTAGGGAGTTTCCGGGTGCCACCCCTCCCCTGCAGTGAGTTAATAAGCAAGAGGGCGGTGCTCCTGTCCCCTCTGCTGGCTCTGGTTCCATGCAGACTACCCTGAAGCTAAGCAGAAGTTCCCAACATGAGGTCATCAGAGTAAAAGGCAGAAACTGACATTGCACCCCATTTATGTCCTTGATCAGTTTGACCCCTTCCTGGTTTGGGGGCTGGGAACCCGAAGCCTTGCACTTGCCAAGCACTCTGTCTCTGAGCTGGGTCTCCACTCAGTGGCTTCAGAGTTTAGCATCAGGAGAAATGGTATGACTGGCCTTCAGGCAATCATGTTGAGGCACAGATTTCGTGATGTTTTCCCCATTCTCCTATTCTCCCGTTCCTGGCAAAGGGTCTGTGTGCTCAGTGCTCCCTGGACAGATACCTACCAGGACCAGCTCGGCTGTGCCTTGTGGTAAAAGCTAGACAGGGCAAAGCCTTGAGGGTGCCACCAGCCAACCTGACTTATCACAGGGGCCCTCCTGGGCCTGGCCCTCCTGGTCCCAAGACTGGATCGTACACCCAGGAGCTGGGCATGAAGTAAGATTGGGACTGTGATGGACAGCCAAGTGTTTCCAGCATGGCTTGTCATACCAGCCAGAGCTGCCTTCCTCTTGATACTCGTCCCCTGGGCCTGCTTGAAGCTAGGTGACCTTCAGGCCCAAACATTTTATTTAGGAAAATTCCTAGATAGCTAGAGGAAGTGAAGGTGGGTTTCTATCGGTGTGTCTCCAAAATACTGAAAATACACTGCATTCACCCACTTGGGTTTCCCAAGGCTGACCCCCAGTTTGCCCTCAAGGATTTTGGAGGGCTTACATATTTCCATCTAGGAGCATTTGGTGGAGGGGAGTTTTCATTTTTCTGTCTTTTATTATTTTGTATATATTTTAACTTTTGAAATAGGGTCTCTCAGGGTAGCCCTGGCTTAACTTCATTCAGAGATTCACTCCCTCCAGAGTGCTGGTTCTGTTTACTTTTTTTCTTCATTATTTTTTGGAGATTTTATTTATTTTATGTGTATGAATATTTGGATATGTTGATGTACCATGTGAGTACTGTAGGGTTAAAGGACCAGCCGAATACACCCTGGGGGCTGGAGAGATGGCTTAATGGTTAAGAACACTGGCTGCTCTTCTAGCAGACCTGGGTTCAATTCCCAGAACCCACATGGCAGCTCATAGCTGTCTGTAACTCCAGTTCCATGGGATCTGGCGCCCTCACACAGGCAAAACACCAATTCACATAAAAATAAATTACATTTAAACAAAGGAAGAAAAAGGAAAGAAGCATGCTTTGGCCCTGAAACCAGAGCCAGTGCAAGAACCACTGACCCTGACCAACTAAGTAAAAAAAAAACAAAAACAAAACAAAAAACAAACAAAAAAAACCAATCCCTGAGCAGGAAATCCAGCCAAATCTCTGAGCTGTCTAAGATCAGGGATTGCAATCTGACCAATTCCCACCCTGGAAATCTCCCTGGAAAACCTCCACCCTGAAGAAGTCCTATATAAGCCCTACCTGCCTGTTAAGTTTGCTGCAGCCTTTTTCCACCCTGGTTTAGGCAGCCACTCTCCTGGATTCCTCCCTCCTGTTAAATCTTAGGAAGTTTGGGTGAGACCTTTCACTGGAATGGAGCCGGGCAGAGCAGAGCAGAACTGTAGCACTTTAGTCACTTTCTCCCGGGGAAGCCCTCCCCTGCTGGAGCAGAACTGTTACACTGCAGAAACCTTTCCCTGGAGTGGGTCTGTAAGCTGCTTTGCTCACAGTGACTTTGAGGTACTCCTCGGCTCCCAACTGCCCGGATTCCTTTCCATCTGAACTCCAATGCTTACATGTACAGTGCATGAGAAGGCCAGACTTAAAAATTGGACTTACAGACAGTTGTGGGTCCTGGGAATAGAATAGGCAGCCAGTGGTCTTAACCACTGAGCCATCTCTTTAGCCCCCTGACTTTTGTTTTTAAGGGAAGGTGACATGAAGCATAGGCTGGCTATGTAGTTGCTATGTAGCATAGCCGAGGTCTGCCTTGGATTCCTGTTCCTATTGCCCCCTGTCCCAAATGCTGGGATTACATGCATGGACACTATGCCCAGATCATTTAAGAGCCCCTCAATTCTCATGCACTTTTTTCTTTTTATAGCAAAGGAGGTATATGAGACATTGGCTCATATATCCTAGCCCAGGCTGGCCTCAAACTCACTAAGTTACCAAAGCTGGCCTTGAACTCCTAATCCACCTGCCTCCACCTCCCAAGTGCCTGGACTACAGGTATGCAACATCAGGCCCACTGTGGGTCCTGGGACACCTTAGAGTCTCAGGTCCCCTCAGCAACCAGGAAAGCAGGGAATGGTGGCTCAAACCTCCAACAACACTCCAGAGACCTTGGCTGGAGGATGAGGTTGCATTCCAGGTCACTTTGAGCTACAGAACTGAGACACTCACTTTAAAAAAAAAAAAAAAATGAAGGGACTATTGTACTTAGGGTTGTTGATTGTTGGGAATGGAAAAGTAACCAGGCACTAGTGGTGCACGCCTTTAATCCCAGCACTCTGGAGTTGGAGGCAGGTGGATCTCTGAGTTTGAGGCCAGCCTGGTGTAAAAAGCAAGTTCCAGGACAGCCAGAGCTGCTGCACAGAGAAACCCTGTCTCCAAAAACTAAAATAAAAGAAAGAAAGAAATGGAAAAGTACAATTCTGTGTGCCAATGGCTCTGTAAGGATACTGGTACTGATGCTGGCCAGCCACTTACTAACTCACAATTACCATTAAATATTACTTTTAAAATGGGCTGGAGGCCAATTCAGGTGGCTCAGTTGGTGAAGGTATTTGCCACCAAACCTGACAACCCTCAGAGTCACATAACAGAAGGTGGGAACTGACTGTCACAAGTTGGCATTCATGTGCCCCACATGCAAAAATACTGTATAAAAAAAAAAGGCCATGTGTGGTGGCACACGCCTTTAATCCCAGCACTCGAGAGACAGAGGCAGGCGGATGTCTGTTAGTTTGAGGCCAGCCTGATCTACAAAGAGTTTCAGAGAAACTCTGTCTGTCTCAAAGAAAAATTTAAAGAAAAAAAATATATATCAGATTGCCAGGCATGGTGGCACCCACCTTGAAGCACAGCACTTTGGAGGCAGTAGTTCAGATCTCTGAGTTCAAGTCCAGTCTGGTCCCTAGAGGCCAGCCAGAGCTACATAGTGAGACTTGGCTATAAATAAATAAGGCCTGGAGGGGCTGGGAGAGATGGCACTTACTTATAATCTTGGCACTGAGGAGGATGGAGACTTCTGCCTGGGCCCATGATAGGACCAGGTCTCCGGAGACCACTGAGGCAGGAGGTTGGGACTGGACTCTAGCCCACTGGACTCTAGCCCACTGGACTCTAGCCATTTCAGCACTCTTGCTTGGGGGTTAGAAAGCACAGCCTCTCATTGTGACTCAGCACCTGGACCTGGCTGCCTGCACATACCTTCCCAGCGCCCCTGGCTATGAGGACGCAATTGAGATCAGCCTCCTCTAACTCCTTGAGGCATTGTCAGCCCCCCTGGTGACAGTGTTCTGGGCACACGGCCTCTTCTGCTCTGGAACTGGGGTGGGGGTGGAGTGGGGAGATGGGGATGGGGACTTCCCCCATGAGGAACAGGCTGAGGAGAGCCTCATCCATCCCCCACAGAGCAGCAGCCTCCTCCACTCCTGCCCGGCAGACATCACTGAGTCATCCTGAGACTGGAAATTACCCCATTTTTGGTCTTCTACTGTACTGCTAGGGAGGTGTTAGCCCAATTCTTAAACTGCAGGGCGGGGTGAATTCAGAGAGGAAGTGGGGGTGGCATGCAAATTGGGGATGATGGAAGATACCATCGCTTGATCTGTTGGTGTAGTGATCTGGACAGTTATTAATCGGTGGGCTGGAGGTGTAACTCAGTGATGACACACATGCTTCGGATAGGCAAAGCCCTGAGCAGGGCTGAAATTAGCGGGGCTGAAATGGCTGAGTACCTTGGGCCAGCTCAGAAATGTCCTTAGCAGCCCTGTGTGGTGCAGTCTGGCTGGGCCAGTGGGACTCTGATCCAGTCAGCCAGCAATGACTGACCTTCTTCTGACAGTGGATGTTTCCTTCTGACCTGCACTTAGCTAATAACATGTTTAATATTTAAGGTCATAAGTTTAAAAATAATCAAAATCAAACTCAAAAAGCATGCTGGCTTCTCCCTACAATCTGAGAAAAGGAGGCAGGAGGATTGCTGCTAATTTGAAGCTAGCCCAAGTGACATAGTAAGATGGTTGCAGTGTGAGATCTTGTCTCAAGAAAATAAAACAAGCCAGGCAGTGGTGGCACACGCCTTTGATCCCAGCACTCCGGAAGCAGAGGCAGGCGGATCTCTGTGAGTTAAAGACCAGCCTGGACTACAAGAGCTAGTTCCAGGACAGCCTCCAAAGCCACAGAGAAACCCTGCCTCTGAAAAAAAGAAAAAAAGAAAAGAAAAGAAAAAAGAAAAGAAAACAATGGCCAGGCGTTGGTGGTGCACGCCTTTAATCCCAGCACTCCAGGGGCAGAGGCAGGTGGATCTCTGTGAGTTCGAGGCCAGCCTGGTC